ATGCCAACAAATTTGATAACCCAGCTGAACAAATTCCTAGAAACACAATACCTACAAAGAATAAACCACAAAGAAATGTAAATTCTGGCCAGGCGTGGTGGCTCATGCCTGTAATTCCAGCACTTTGGGAGGCCAAGACAGGCGAATCACATGAGGTCAGGAGTTCGAGACCAGTCTGACCAACATGAAGAAACCCCATCTCTACTAAAAAGACAAAATTAGCCAGGCATAGTGGCACATGCCTGTTCCCAGCTACTTGGGAGTCTGAGGCAGGAGAATCACTTGAACCCAGGAGGCGGAGGTGGTAGTGAACCGAGGTCATGCCACTGCACCACAACCTGGGTTACAGAGCGAGACTCTGCCTCAAAAAAAAAAAAAGAAAGAGAAAGAAAGAAGAAAGAGAGAGGGAGAGAGAGAGAGAAAGAAAGAAAGAAAGAAAGAAAGAAAGAAAGAAAGAAAGAAAAATAAAGACAATCTTTTCAACAAGTGGTGCTGGGAAACTAAATATCCATATGCAAAAGAGTGAGGTTGGACCTTTAACACAATATACAAAAATTAAATCAAAATGGATTAAAACTTTGTGTAAGATCTAAAGCTATAAAACTCTTAGAAGAAAACATAAAGCAAAAGCTTCACAACAATAGATTTGGCAATGATTTCTTGGATATAAAACCAAAGGCACAGGCCACAAAAACAAGACAAATTGGACTTCATAAAAATTTTAAAAGTTTGTGTATCAAAAGACAGCATCCCTGTAATCCCAGCTACCTGGGAGGCTGAGGTAGGAGGACTATTTGAGCCCAGGAGTTCACAACCAGCCTGAGCAATAAAGCGAGATACTATATTTAAAGGCAGGGAAAAAAAAAAAAAAAAAAGGCCAGGCATGGTGGCTTATACCTGTAATCCCAGCACTTTGGGAGGCCAAGGCAGGCACATCACCTGAGGTCAGGAGTTCAAGACCAGCCTGACCAACATGGTGAAACCCCATCTCTACTAAAAATACAAAAAATTAGCCAGGCATGGTGGCACATACCTGTAATCCCAGCTACTTGGGAGGCTGAAGCATAAGAATTGCTTGAACCTGGCAGGCAGAGGTTGCAGTGAGCCAAGATTGCACTCCAGCCTGGGTGACAGAGCGAGATTCTCTCAACATCTGTGTGGAGGAGACTGAAGACAACTGACCCTGGCAGCCAAGGTGTTGGAGCAGTTCATAGGCCAGACCCCTGGGTTCCCCAAAGCTAGATACACTACCAGATCCATTGGTATCAGGAGAAATGAATAGACTGCCACCCAGTATACAGTGTAAAGGCCCAAAGCAGAAGAAATCCTGGAGGAAGGTCTAAAGGTGCAGGAGTGTGAATTAAGAAAGAACAACTTCATGGATACTGGAAACTTTGGTTTGGAGATCCAGTAACACAGAGATTTGGGTATCAAATGTGACCCATGCATTGATATCTATAGCCTGGACTTCTACGTGGTGCTGGGTAGGCCTGGTTTCAGCAATGCAGACACGGAGTGTAGAACAGGCTGCACTGGGGCCAAACACAGAATCAGCAAAGAGGAGGCCATTCGCTGGTTCCAAAAGGTAAAAAGAAAAAAAGGAAAAGACAAGACAGTATCAAAGAGTAAAAAGGCAACCCACAGTAATGGCGAAAAAATTTTTGCAGTTCATATATCTGAAAATACTCAAAATACATAGAAAACTCCTAAAACTCAACAACAAAAAGGTAAATCAATTTAAAAATGAGGAAAGGACTTAAATAGACACGTCTCCAAAGATATACAAATGCCCAGTAAACACATGAAAAGTTGCTCAATATCATTAATCATTAGGGAAATACAAATCAAAACTACAATGAGATACTACCTCATACTCAACGGTATGGCTACTAAAAAAAAAAAGAAACAGAAAATAATGTTAGTGAGAATGTGGAGAAGTTAGAACACTTATGCACTGTTGGTGGGAATGTAAAATGGTCCAGTCACTATTTGTCGGTTCCTCAAAAATTTAAAATAGAATTATCATGTAGCAATTACAATTCTTGGTAAATACCCAAAATAACTGAAAATTGAAAACTCATATTTATATCAACATTATTCATAATAGCTAAAATGAAGAAACAACTCAAGTGTCCACTGACATGTGAAGGGATAAGCAAAATGTGGTATATGCATATAATAAATACCATTAAGCCTTAAAAAAGAAGGAAACCTTCTGATATTTGCTACAACATAGTTGAACCTTGAAGACGTCAGGCAAAGTGGGAATAAGCAAGTCACAAAAGGATAAATACTGTATTACAACTCCACTTACATGACGTACTTAGAGTAGTCAAAATCATAGTAGAATGGTAGGTGTCAGGGGTTGAGGGGACAGGGAAATGGGGAGTTATTGTTTAATGTGTATAGAGTTTCAGTTTTTCATGATGAAGAGTTATGGAGATGGATGGCAGCAATGATTGCAGAATATTATGTATTTAATATCATTGAACTGTACACTTAAAGGTGGTTAAGATAGTGAATTTTATGTGTATTTGAAAACAATTTTTTAAATTGGGAAAAAATAGGGTAGGGAATAGAAGGAGTATAAGAAAGATAGCCAGTAGCACATTATGTAGGGGTCTATAAACTTTAACCTGTAGGTTGAACCTGGCCCTTGTCCTGCCAAAGATTTAAGAATGATTTTTACAGTTTTAAAGAGTTGTTTGGGAAAAAAAAAAAAAAGGATCAGAAAATAATGTGCAAGAAACCACATGTGCCCGGGTGTGGTAGCTCCTACCTGAAATCCCATGGATCACCTAAGGTCAGGAGTTTGAGACCAGCCTGGCCAACATGGAGAAACCTGGTCTCTACTAAGAACACAAAAATTAACCAGGCATGGTGGTATGCACCTGTAGTCCCACCTACCTGGGAGGCTGAGGCGGAAAAATTGCTTGAACCTGGGAGGCAGAGGCTGCAGTGAGCTGAGATCGCACCACTGCACTACAGCCTAAGTAACAGAGCAAGACTCTCTCAAAAAAAATAAACCACACATGACCTGTAAAGCCCTAGAGTATTTAAATAAGATAACTATTTATAAATAACTATTTATCCAGGTCCTTTACAGAAAAGGCTTGCCAACCCAAGGACCTCATAATTCCTAAGTTGCCTATTTACTAAAGCTTAATAACAGACTTGTACCAAGAAGGCTATTTGAAAGAAGACACAGGCCCTAAGTGCATGCAAAAAAAAAAAAAAAATTGGCCGGGCGCGGTGGCTCAAGCTTGTAATCCCAGCACTTTGGGAGGCCGAGGCAGGTGGATCACGAGGTCGAGAGATCGATACCATCCTGGTCAACATGGTGAAACCCCGTCTCTACTAAAAATACAAAAAATTAGCTGGGCATGGTGGCATGTGCCTGTAATCCCAGCTACTCAGGAGGCTGAGGCAGGAGAATTGCCTAAACCCAGGAGGCGGAGGTTGCGGTGAGCCGAGATAGGAAAGAGGGAAACTCCGTCTCCAAAAAAAAAGAAAGAAAGAAAGAAAGAAAGAAAGAAAGAAAGAAAGAAAAAGGCTGCCCGGACCTGGTGGCTTGCACCTGTAATCCCAGCACTTTGGGAGAATGAGGTGGGTGGATCACCTAAGGTCAGGAGTTCAAGACCAGCCTGACCAACATGGAGAAACCCCGTCTTAAAAAAGAAAAAAAAAAAAGGCTAATCTGAAAAGAAAAAAACTTTATATAAAAATTATTGTAATTTTTTTTTTACAATACACAAGTCACAAGCAAAGTACCATTCTGTTCATTGGTGATAAAGTAAATCTCTTCTATGGCAAAGCCTGAAATATATGCAGATCATAAACATCAAGTTCAAGATAATGGTTAACTGTGGGATGGAGAGGGGAAAGAGGGGGCTCCAGCAATGATTGTTTTGTTTCTTAATCTGAGTTATGAACACAAATGTTTATTACATTATTCTTAATAACTTTTTCTAAGTCTGAAGTATTTTGTAACTATTATTAAAAAAAGAAACCAAATAAAGGCACACGGAAAAGGTAATATTGCCTGGTTTTATTAAACAATCAAAATAATTTTAAAATTTGCACTTGTTATATGCACTGCATTTTTAAATAAAAATCTTCAAAACAAGCAACTACTAACAGAAGGCCCAGATTACAGCTGGTAAGTGTCACTGGCCAGACTTAGGATTGCTATCAAATCTCCTCTCTTGCACCTAGTTTAGAAAGGTTTACAGAAAAGTTGCCACAACAACTGTTAACAGCCACAAAAAGAGACACACAAAACACGCATACTCAGTAAACTGTGGAGAGTCTCTAAAAAGTTGAATAAATCAATTCTAACTAAGCAACAGTTTCTAGCTCATTTTAAAATTAAGAAGTTATTTGGAAACCAGTCAGAGGAGTCGAACATCACTCCACATCCCCTTATCTCGAAAAATCCGTTAATTTGGTCTATGAATAAATAGGCAGATGAAAACTGCAGCACAATCAGAAATTTACATTAGCTTAAATTGCCTTGATCTTTTATAAACTCACTTTATAACTTAATTTTAATGTTTACATACAGAGATGTTTACTTGTTTAGTAGTGATTTAAAAAATATTGCATCTAGAATAAAGATAATTAAGTGATTGATTTCTTTTTAGAGGCGATAATACCAACGTAAGGGCTAAACCATCTGCAAAACAGGTATTCAGTCTTACTTCCAAACTGATAGACTCCATGAAGTAGCATACAAAAGTGACACCTAGATCTTTGTTGACTATAGTTTAAAATAAGAATGCACTTTCCAGTAAGGAACAGTGATCAAATCAAACATCCAATTTTCTACTGAAAATCAAACACACACAGCAACCGGGTGTCATTTTTATTGAACAGAACGCGGACAACAAAGAAACTGGGAGCCTCAGGAAATGCAAACAAAATCCCTCTCCCCGAACCGCCTAGGAGGAGGCCCAGCAGCAAAGCCCCGGCGCTCGGAATCCTGTCAGCCCTCTCCCTACCTGCATCTCACCACCACCTGGATGTTCTTCCCCTTCTCCTCTTTCTTCTTCGCAGACGAATTTGGCTGCGACGCCATGACGGTCCCCGCCAAAAAATCAACGCCTGGCCGCAGCCTTGGGCGCCGTGGGGCGCGTAGGGGCTTGGCGGCAGACGGGAGCCTGAGTCTCCCTGGCCCGTGCTGGGCGCTGGCGTGGCCTGGAGGACTGACCCGCGCAGCTCGGCGTTCCCGCTCTCTACCCGGTACTCTGGCCGTGGCGTTGGTCCCGCACCAGCCGGTGCCACCAAATCACTAATCTCGTCTCCGCCCAAAGTCCCAGAAACCGAGAAACGCCTCGGCGCCTCAATTTGAAAAAGGAGCCGAGTAGCCAGGCCAATGGCTGCGCGGGTGCGCAAGGCACCATGGGACGTAGTGTCCTCACCGAAGCCCCGCCCTCAGGGCGTGACCTCCAGTAAAGAGCTGGGCTGTCAGATCGCTCCGGAACTCAATAGTCCGGGGCCGAGACGCAGGAAAGGAGTGTGGAACTTCAGCGTGCCGTGGCTCAACTTACGTGACGTCTCTAGCCCCAAATTCCCTCATCTGCAGAGAGGAAATACTAGTAACCACCTCACAGAGTTATGGGGAGAATCAATGAGCTTATGCAAGTATATAGATTGGAATATACGGTAAGTGCTCTCCATGATTATACTTACTAGAGAATTGTAAGAGGGCAATGGAAGCACAGAAGAGAAGCGAGCCGCCTTCCCGGAGGCAGAGACCAAAATAGACTTTTTTTTTTTTTTTTTTTTTTTGAGACGGAGTCGGCCGGGCGTGGTGGCTCACGCCTGTAATCCAAGCACTTTGGAGGCCAAGGCGGGCGGATCACCTGAGGTCGGGAGTTCAAGACCAGCCTGACCAACAGGGTGAAACCCCGTCTTAAAAAAAAAAAAAAAAAAAAAAAAAAAATTAAAAGAAAGAGACGGAGTCTCGCTCTTGTCACTCAGACTGGAGTGCAGTGGCGCGATCTCGGCTTACTGCAACCTCCGCCTCCCTCAGCCCCCGGGTAGCTGGGATTACAGGTGCATGCCACCACGCCTGGCTATGTTGTATTTTTTTTTTTTTTTTTGAGACGGAGTTTCGCTCTTGTTACCCAGGCTGGAGTGCAATGGCGCGATCTCGGCTCACCGCAACCTCCGCCTCCTGGGTTCAGGCAATTCTCCTGCCTCAGCCTCCTGAGTAGCTGGGATTACAGGCACATGCCACCATGCCCAGCTAATTTTTTGTATTTTTAGTAGAGACAGTGTTTCACCAGGTTGACCAGGATGGTCTCAATCTCTCGACCTCGTGATCCACCCGCCTCGGCCTCCCAAAGTGCTGGGATTACAGGCTTGAGCCACTGCGCCCGGCCTATGTTGTATTTTTAGTAGAGATATGGTTTCACCATGTTGGCCCGGCTGGTCTCGAACTCCTGACCTCAGATGATCCCCACCCCCACCGCAACGCCCGCCTCGGCCTCCCAAAGTGCTGGGATTACAGGCGTGAGCCACCCCGCCCGGCCCGGAATAGTCTTGAAGAATTATTAGTGTTGGGCTCGGTGGCTCACGCCTGTAATCCCAACACTTTAACAGGCCGAGGTAGGAGGATGCTTGAGGCCAGAAGTTTGAGACCAGACTGGGCGACATAGGGGGAACCCCACCACCACCGCCGTCAACACACTTGCATCTCAACAACAACAACAACAACAAAATGGGGGAAAAAATAGCCTAGGGTGGTGTGTGCCTGTTCTCCCAGCTACCCACGAGGCTGAGGCTAAAGGAACGCTGAACACAGGAGATCAAGGCTGCAGCGAGCCGGAATTATGCCACTAGATTATTCCAGCCTAGGCGACAGAGCAATAACCTTTCTCAAAAAAAAAAAAAGAAAGAAAAAGAGTAATTAGGAAGTGTTAAGAGATAAGGCTACTACAGGTTCCAAATCGTGATGAAATGGACATTGAATGCCATTTGGAGGACTCTTAAATCATCATCGATAAAGCGACTCCAAGCAAGAAAGCAGGATCCGCCCAGATTTTAGAACGAACGACTGCACTGATCGACTGACGCAGGACGCCGGCCCGCTCCGCCTTCCCGCGCGGCGCAGCGGGCGGTCGCGTCTCAAGAAGGCTGCGCAAAAGTCAGCGCCGCGGCCTACGAATCCCAGCATGCAGCGCTCGCTGGGGCCTGCGCGCCCTCTGCCAGCTCCCGCCTGCCGCAGGCAAAATTTTCGGCGTCTTCGCGGTGCCTGGCGTGACTCGACTGCTGTAGGTGTGGGACGCTCTACCAGGAACTACTGAAACAGAAGCCTATGCCGCATTCGGTTCTTGCAACTGCGCTTCTGGGGCACACAACCCATCGGAACCTATTAAGTAACAAACCGATGCAGTGAAAAGCTCTTACGTCCTTTTTGTGTTCCTCCACTTACTAATGCCCTAGTTGCACCCCACCCCAAGGCAATATCTACATCTACAGCTCCTTCTGCTGGTCAACTGTATTTTGCGTAGCCAGCTATCTATTGATCTCTCCTCTTAGGTGGCTCCCTGGCATTTCAAAATGGAACCTATATCCCAGACTGAACTCTTATCTTACCTCCACCCTAATTTTTCTTATCTAGACACTGGTGCTAATCACAACCTTTGATTCCTCCATGCGTAGGGGAGTGCTGTTGACTTTATCTCCCCTGCGATCACCCTAGTCCAAGGCTCTTATCTCTTACCTGTACTACTGTCATCCACCTCCTTAGCAAGACTCTCTTCTCTTTTCTCCTCCCCCCCGACCCCTCTACTACATGTACTCAGCAAAGGAAATGTCTTTTTTTTTTTTAAGAAACAAATAAGGGCCTGGCGCGGTGGCTCAAGCCTGTAATCCCAGCACTTTGGGAGGCCGAGGCGAGTAGATCACGAGGTCAAGAGATCGAGACCATCCTGGTCTACATGGTGAAACCCTGTCTCTACTAAAAATACACAAAATTAGCTGGGCATGGTGGCATGTGCCTGTAATCCCAGCTACTCAGGAGGCTGAGGCAGGAGAATTGCCTGAACCCAGGAGGTGGAGGTTTCGGTGAGCCGAGATCGCGCCGTTGTACTCCAGCCTGGGTAACAAGAGTGAAACTGTCTCAAAAAAAGAAAAAAAGAAAAAGAAACAAATAAGAAAATAAGACTATGCTCTTCATCTGCTTTTTAATCTTACACTAGCTTCTTATTTGTATTTGGAATGAAATCCAAACTCTTTACTATGCCCTGTAGGGTCCTGATGATCTGGCCCTTGTCCATACCATCAACTAAAGGCACTTGCCAAAAATCTCATTACCATGCGTCAGAGCTCCTATCTTTTTCCTGTGGCCAGGCCCTTGCCCTGAATTCTGTTTGGCTCTTTGCATGGCTTACCCATTCTCATTCTTCAGCTCTCAGTGGAACTTTCTCTTTTAAAAAGAGCTTTCCTGACCACCCTAATAAAGCACATTCCTCATAATTTCCTTTTTCTTTTTCTTTTTTTTTTTGAGACAGCAGTGGTGGGATCTCGGCTCACTGCAACCTCCGCCTCCTGGGTTCAAGGGATTCTTGTGCCTCAGCCTCCTGAGTAGGTGGGGCTACAGGCACCCCACTACGCCCAGCTAATTTTTTTGTATTTTGAGTAGAGACTGGGTTTTAGAATGTTAGCCAGGCTGGTCTCAAACTCCTGACCTCAAGTAATCCGCCCTTCTCAGCCTCCCAAAGTGCTGAGATTACAGACGCGAGCCACCATAACTAGCCTTCCTCTTACAATTTTCTATCTCAGAACCCTGTCTATTTTCTTCATAACACTACAGTCTGCAATTACATTGTTAATATACAGTGTATCTCCATGGATAGAATGTCAGTTTCATTAGAGACCCAGTCTTTTCATTCAGTATTATTTTCCCAGTGTCTTGAACAGAGTCTTACACAAAGTAAGGCTTTACTCAATAAATACACATTGAGTATCTGAAGGAAATTACTAAACATTTATCGGCCTTGGTTTCCTCATCTGTAAAATGGAGATAATAATTATTATTGTGAGAACTAAAATAACATATATAAAGTGCCTGGGATATAATAGGAAAAAAGTCTTAATTTCTTTTATTTTTTTTTGAGACGGAGTCTCGCACTGTTGCCCAGGCTGTAGTGCAGTGGTGTGATATTGGCTCACTGCAGCCTCCACCTCCTGGGTTCAGGCAATTCTTCTGTCCCAGCCTCCCAAGTGGCTGGAACTACAGGTTCGTGCCACCATGCCCGGCTTTTTTTTTTTTTTTTTTTAACAGTAGAGACCAGGTTTCACCATCTTGGCCAGGCTGGTCTCGAACTCCTGACCTCATGATCCACCCACCTTAGCCTCCCAAAGTGCTGGGATTACAGGCGTGAGCCACTGCGCCTGGACTAATTCCTTCTTTTCTTTCATTTTGTTCGATTTTTTTGAGTAAGGGTCTCACTCTGTCACCAAGGCTGGAGTACATTGCACCATCATGGCTCACTGAAGCCTGAACCTCCTGGGCCCAAGGGATCCTCCCATCTCAGCCTCCTGAGTAGCTGGTACTGTAGGCACAAGTCACTACACCTGGCTAATTTTGTTTTCCTTTGATAGAGATGGGAGTCTCCCTATGTTGATCAGGCTGGTCATGAACTCCTGGCCTCGAGTAATTCTCCCACCTCAGCCTCCCAAAGTGCTGGTATTACAGGCACTGGGCCTTTTTCCTTTCTCTTTAGTAAATATCCAAACAATATTTACATTAACAGTCAAATAGGTTGACACAAGAAATTCAAGAGTCTCCATTTGATAATAGATATAGCTACCATTTATCTAGGGTTTACAATGAGTCAAACTCCATGCTAAAGGCTTTGTGTGCATCATCTCATTTAATCTTCAGAACAACTTTCCAAAATAAAACTATTATTTTCTACTACTTTATCAGCAAACAGGCCAAATAAGTTTGTCTGTAGTCACACAGCATATGACCATACTTACTCAAACTTTTTTTTTTTTTTTTTGAGACGGAGTTTCGCCCTTGTTACCCAGGCTGGAGTGCAATGGCGCGATCTCGGCTCACCGCAACCTCCGCCTCCTGGGCTCAGGCAATTCTCCTGCCTCAGCCTCCTGAGTAGCTGGGATTACAGGCACGTGCCACCATGCCCAGCTAATTTTTTGCACTTTTAGTAGAGACGGGGTTTCACCATGTTGACCAGGATGGTCTCGATCTCTCGACCTCGTGATCCACCCGCCTCGGCCTCCCAAAGTGCTAGGATTACAGGCTTGAGCCG